AAATCCCCCCACTGTGTGCAACCTCCTCAAGTCCCCTCGTGCAGGGAGTGGCTTCTTCACCCTGTCAATCTCTCCTCCCTCCTTTGCCCAGAAGCATCTTGTGATTAGTAAGGAGTGCAGTAAATATTTCTCATAAATATTTCTCATGTTAACAAGGTGCTCCGACCTGATACAAGGGAAAAATGGTTGAATTCAGAGGGATGGGCACATCCCATCCCTGTTTTTTTTTGTTTTTTTGAGACGGAGTCTTGCTGTGTCTCCCAGACTGGAGTGCAGTGGCACGGTCTCGGCTCACTGAAACCTCCGCCTCCCGGGTTCACGCCATTCTCCTGCCTCAGCCTCCTGAGCAGCTGGGACTACAGGCGCCCACCACCACACCCCGCTAATTTTTTGTATTTTTAGTAGAGACGGGGTTTCACCGTGTTAGCCAGGATGGTCTCAATCTCCTGACCTCGTGATCTGCCTGCCTCGGCCTCCCAAAGTGCTGGGATTACAGGCATGAGCCACCACGCCCGGCCCTGTCCCTGTTTTTAAAGCGTTTATGAAGAAGCTCGAATTTAAATGGTGAAATAGCCATATATGCAATTGTATAGAAAAGTCAGGATTATTTGACAAGGATTGTTTTCAATGCTTTTACACAATTCAGAACCTCAATGAATATAGAAAATAATTTAAAAAGAGGTAAGACCACTCTAGATTGAAATGAGCATAGTGCTTGTAAAACAATAGTGAACAGTGAATGCAAAATATTTTAACTTAAATTTCTATTATGCAGCAAATTCATAAAGTAGGGAAAGTCTTTTTCCAACATTTTCAAGACATTTTCTGTTAGGACATGGTCTTTCTTCAGGTGGCTTTTACTTGGGATATTGAGAGGTAAGATGGCGGAGTGGTGACAGTTCAGGTTGAGGAAGGCGAGGGCTGCCGTAACAAAGAACCACACGTTAGGTGGCTTAAAGCAACAGACGTTGATTCTCTCACAGTTCTGGAGGCTAGAAGACCCAAGTCACGGTGTTGGCAGGGCTGTGCTCCCCCGAAGGCCGATAGACGAATGCTGCCTTGCACACCCCGTCTTTGGTGCCCTGCTGGTGTCCGCTGGCACCACTTGGCCTACAGACTCATCATGCCAACCTCTGCCTCTGTCTTTACCCGGCCTTCTCCCCTGCATGTCTGTGTTCAAATGCCCCTCTTCTTATAAGGGCACCAGTCCTGCTGGATTCCAGTTTCCACCCTATCCCAGTATAGACTCACCCTAACTAATTGCATCTGAAAAAACCTTACTTCCAGACAAGGTCACATTCCCACGTTCTGGGTGGATGTGACTTTGAAATGATTATCAAGTAGATCCAGTTCCATTTACAGTAAGGAGCAGAGAGTGAATGAGGCATTAATGCACTTTCACATGGCACGAACACCTGACATTCACTGAATTTTAATAGAAGCTGGCATTGGTGCTAACTCCTTACACACTTTATGTCAGTGGATTCTCACTGGAGGAAGTTGCTATTTTATCCCACTTTATAAATGAGAAAACTGAGATGCGGAGAGGTCACCAAGTCAAACTCAAGCAACACCCCAGTCCCCCGTGGTGATCAGGCTGAAGCGATGACTAAATGCCATTTGCTCCTGATGACACCGTCACAAGCACTGAAGCCGCCAAGGGCTGTTGGGCCTATGCAGAGGAGAGGCAGACTCAGGCCCTCCCCATGGACGGGAGGGCTGTCTTCCATGTACACCTTGGTCGGAGTCCGCAAGGGTGGGGAGGTGACTGTCCACTGGCCTTTGGTTTGCAATGCCTTTGCTGGCGCTGCTGGAATGGCCTTTGGTTTGCGATGCCTTTGCTGGCGCGGGCTGGGAATGCTGTGCGGAGTGCGCTATGGTGCTGGGACTGCGCTCCCCAGCAGGAGTTGCTGGAATGCCTGTGCGGAGTGCGCTATGGTGCTGGGACTGCGCTCCCCGGGAGGAGCTGCTGGAATGGCTGTGCCGAGTGCGCTGTGGTGCTGGGACTGTGCACCCTGCGAGGAGCTGCTGGAATGGCTGTGGTGCTGGGACTGTGCTCCCCAGCAGGAGTTGCTGGAATGGCTGTGTGGGGTGCGCTATGGTGCTGGGACTGCGCTCCCCAGCAGGAGTTGCTGGAATGCCTGTGCGGAGTGCGCTATGGTGCTGGGACTGCGCTCCCCGGGAGGAGCTGCTGGAATGGCTGTGCCGAGTGCGCTGTGGTGCTGGGACTGTGCACCCTGCGAGGAGCTGCTGGAATGGCTGTGCGGAGTGCGCTGTGGTGCTGGGACTGCACTCGCCGGGAGGACCTCGGAAGTTGTTTGTAGGCATTGCAGTATTGTCTGCCATTGCCGCGTTGACACAGGGTCACGGGGAGCCACCTCCGGTATTGTCTGCCATTGCCACGTTGACACAGGGTCAAGCCACCTCCAGGGCCTGTGTTCCTCTTCAGGCAGACAGGCAGGAATGCTCAGGACCCGTGATGATGGCGCCATGCAGAGGTCAGGGATGAATGACCGCCAAGGCAGGGGAAGGAGTCCAGCACCTCAGTGTTTGGGGAATGGGGCCGGGGGCAGGTAAAAACTTCGAATCAAGGCAAACAAATAGCTGGAAAACACAGTAGCTGTTAAGTTCTGATGGAAAAGCTGTTTTGTACTTACTGTTAAATCTCACAGTATTTTTGATGCGTTTCTGGGTAACTTGCTCTTCCCTTCTCAAAAGGTCCCAGTCTCACCAGAGCGTCCCTTCCTGCTCCGGCCCCAGCTCTCCACGCCTCCCGGAGACCGGGGGCCTCTACCCTTGCCCCCCTGGGACGGCGCTTCCCCCCGCTCTTCTCCAGGTCTGGGCTGGGGTCTTCAGGCTCAGGTGGAAGGTGGTTTCGGGCCCTTTGCCTGCACAGGGACGACGCCCTGACCCAGGAAAAGCCTAACGTTGCCTGTCACTTGGACGCATCTCTTGGCAGTGACGGGGGTGGAAATCCTCACCGCAGCCCGTGTCTCCTGCGTGATTGTTGTGAGAAAGCCACCGCCCAGCTGCATGGAGACAGGGTCCTCCTGGCTGCGAAATGCTAAGACCGTTTTCCCTATGAAGAGAACGGTGCCAAGTTTTCCAAAATGTATCAGATCATGATTGACTTGACTGAAGTGGGAAATGGAAGTGGGTTGGAGTGTTCCTGCCAAAGACAAGCGTGGCCGCCGTGCCCTCGCTCATGCCGGGCTCTCTCCCCTCCACAGTCACGGTGCCGGGCCCTCTCCCGGTGACTGGACACGTGTCTCCCACAGGACACGCGCTGGCACTAAACCCACACTGCCCATCTCGGAGACAGGCGGAGGAACTCCCCGGCTGAGATGCGGGAAGCACCAGGGTGCAGGGACTTCACCGCAGGGCGCCGCAGCTCAGGACTCGGAGCAGGTGGGCCTGGACCTCCCTAGGCCACACCAGGCCGCATGTTTCCAGCTGCCCCCGCAGTGGTTGGACAAGATCTCAGTGTAGGAGCAGCTCCGCCGAGGCTCCCGGCACATTTCTGTGTACCCCTTGGTTCTCAGTCCGTTCTGCACTTTCGTCCTGGAGGTTTTATTTACAAGTTAATGACAATGAGCCAGAATGTGAGCCTGCTTAGTGAGAGGAAGGAAAATGCCTTCCGTTTGTACAAACCGGTTCCAAAACTAAGGGCTGACTTTCAGGCGTTGGCTTCCACTTATTCTGAGGACTGGCTGGAAGCGCAGGAGAGGAAGGAGAAGCTGAAACAAAATGCTGACTTTTAAATTCTGATTTTTAAGTGGAATCGTTATAACCAGTGCGGAAAAATGTTTGTGTTTTACCAACTTTACCTTGTATGCAGCACCCCAAGTGAGGGCGTATTAAAAAGTCACTTGTGTAATTGACTGTTGAACTTAGAGAAGCAGAGAGCAGCACAGTGGCCTCCAGAGGGCAATGGGGAGATGCTGGTCACAGGCACAAAGTCTCCGGCAGGAGGAGGACGCCTCAGACCTGCTGCACCACATGGGGCACACGCTTTGTCATAATGATCACGTATTTCACAATTGCTAAAATAATAGGTTTTTTTTTTTGTTTTTGAGACAGAGTCTTGCTCTGTCACCCAGACTGGAGTGCGGTGGCACAATCATAGCTCACCATAGCCTCCTGCCTCAGCTGCCCGCATGGCTGGGGCTACAGACACTCACCACCATGCCTGGCTAGTTTTTAAATTTTTGCAGAGATGCAGTCTCACTATGCTGCCCAGGCTGGTGTTGAGCCCTTAGGCTCAAGAGATCCTCCAGTCTGAAACTCCCAAAGTGCTGGGACCATGCCCAGCCACTAAAATAATAGATTTTAAATGTTCTCACTGCCAAAAAAAAAGATGTGAGATGATATGTTAATTAACTTGATATAATCTCTCCATAATGTAAAGGTATCGAAACCATGCTTAAAACATAAATATATGCAGTTATTATTTGTCAACTAAAAATACAAATTTTAATTTAAACAAAGTCACTTGCATACAGGAGGGGGCATTGCCAGCATGATCAGGCTCCCTTCTGAAATTCAGTGTGAAGTTAGATCCTGTCCTCGGAGAGAGCAGAGCCCAGGGTCATTCTGCTGAGAGCAGGTTCGTCTGCACCTGGCCCTCACACATGGAACCAAAAAGACCTGGCCTGGGAGTGAGGCTCTTTGTGAATTTAAATGCACCCAGGATACCTTTGTTAGCCACAGCAAGGGTAGTGCCAGCAAGTCCCCTGGGCCCCTAATTAGCCTGACTGACACCAGGGGCAAGGCCAGCTGTTCTGTGCATTCATGGTTGCAGGGGCCTGTGTGCTCAGCACGCCTTCTTCCTGAAGGACCTGCCTGCGAATCGCAGATCCCGCTCTGAGTAGGAACCTTTGCCACGTGGATCCTCTGTGGCCTCCTGCAAACAAGTGTTCGTCCGGGAGCCAGAAACTTCCCTCTGGCATGATGAGGAAGAAGGATGGTTCATCTTGCCAGCAGTCCTTTGTGAAAACAGCTCCTGTCCGGACCCTTCTGTCTTGTATCAAGTGTGTGCTGTTACCGGAGCAGTCAAAATTCAGATGTTATTAATATTTGTTCTGCATTTTTGCAGGAGAGTGCCGGGATGGAAGGCCAGGATACTCACAGGCTGCCGAGAGCCCTCTGAGGGCAAACAGGCAGGACACTGATCCCACAGAACAGCTTCGTGTTCCCAAAATCACCGTACAACTGCTTTCCAAACACAGGCAAATCCAAAATCACCAGGACGACTGTTTTCCAAACACGTGCAAATCTAGCACCATGTTGTAATTACTCTCAGGCATGGATGAATAAATATTGTAACTGCATTTGTCTAGCCTTTTCTTGTAAGCATTGCCTGATTTGTTCCTTCTGGGGTTTTGCCATTAAAATGTATTTACAGATTACACATCTTTATTTTGCGAACCCCGGAAACACTACTCTTGCCATCATCCTATCTCCACCTTCTGGTGTCTCTGACGCTGTGCTCGTCTGCATTCTGCCCCGGCGGTCCCTCTGGCACTGGCATTTCCACACCCGCTGCCCATCACCAGGTGTCCGCAGGGCCTGCATCGGGTTTCCCTCTTCTCCTGAGAAGAGCACTCCTGGCTTCCTGCAGGGCCGGTGGGAGGAGGAAAGTGATTCTGAGGGAGAGGCTGGCACCTTGATTCTGAAGGACCAACAGGGCAGAGTGACTTGTCTCATCCTCCAGAGATTCACCAACATGTCAGCCTCAGACCCCAGGCTTCTGCCTCCAGCAGCCGCCCTGCTGCGCGCCGCTCTCACCCCTCCTCATCCCCCTCACTCACGGGGAACACAGCCCAGTGATGCCGGAGGAATCCCCCTCCTTGACTCAACTAGGCAGCCTGGGGGGCACCGTTAGCCATGCTGACCCTGTAAAGCTGCTGTCTTCATTTCATGTGTGAAGCAGCTGAATTCCAGAGTGCTGGGTCCCAGCCCAGGCAGCTCTCAGCCTCACCCAAGGAAATAGTCAGGGGTCCTTCAGCATTGAAAGCAAACGCAGGCGCATCTGACCTGGAGCTCTACCTCCACTAAGAAGAGAGTAGTAACTAATCATGGATGAAACAGGCCGTCTACGCAGCACTTAATGGTCTCACCCACGGATGTCAACAGTGGCCTGGGAGGGCTGTGGACGTTTCGCTTCAGGATGTTTTATTTCGCTGGAGTGTTCTGTAGAGAATGCGTAGTTTGCTTTTTATAACTTTTGTAACCCAAAAATACCAGACTGTTGTTTTCTCTAGGTGCTAGGCCATCCTGTTCTACGTGTTCCCAAACTCTTAGTTGTGTTCATGTAAAACTCATTCATGATCTCAGAATTAAAACAGTATGAAAAATATCCTGGCAAATGTCACAGATTGCCCTTATCACCCCTGTAAGCAGTCCATTCTCACACTGCCGTAAAGAACCACCCGAGACTGGGTCATTTATAGGGAAAAGAGCTTTAACTGGCTCCGGGCTGCACAGGCGGGGCAGGTGGCATGGTGCTGCCATGTGCTCGGCTTCCGGGGAGGCCTCTGGAAACACAGTCACAGCGGAAGGGGCAGGGGCAGGAGGCCCATCACAGGGCAGGAGCTGGGAGCCGGGAGGGAGAGGAGGGAGAGGCAGCCACACACAGAGGCCACCAGATCACAGGAGACTCACTCCCTGCACAGGACCAAGAGGGGTGGTGCTGGACTCTTTTTGAGAACCCACCCCGTGATCCCATCGCCTCCCAGCAGGCCCCTCCTCCAACACTGGGAATGACAGTCCCACATGAGACTGGGTGGGACACAGAACCAAACCGTATCAACACCCAGGGAAGGGACACAACCCGGCTTCCGCGGAGGAGCTGCCGAGAGTTACCATCAGCGGCTGAGGAGAGACACAGGAACCACAGCAATGCACAACGCATCAGCTCCTGCTCTGGGCAGCGAAGGGGGCGGCCGCCCAACCTCTGGATCATTTCCACGAAGGGAACACAGGCCTTCTACTTCAGCCGCCGCCCTGCCACGCACTGGAACACACTGACTGGGGAGCGGTCTTCCCTTCCACCTCGGAGCCTCTTGCTGACACCAAAACCAGGAACCCTGGCTTGATGCGGTGCCTGTGTCACCTCTGCCCTCTAGGATTAGCCAGAAGGAGCAGTGCCATACAGTGATGGTTAACATCAGGCCTCAACCTGGCTGGCTGGAGGGAGGCCCAGCTGGCTGGTGAGGTCTTGTCTCAGCCTCAGCTAGATGGATGGATAAGAGGATAAGCTGTTTTGGAGGAGACTGGGGTGTGAGTCAGCAGACTGAGGGGAAGACCTGCCTGAATGTAGGGTGGGCACCATCCAAACCTGGATGGAACTAAAAGGCAGCTCTGTCTCTCTCCTAGAGCTGGGACACTCTTCTTCTCCTGCCCTTGGACATCAGCACTCCAGGCTCTTGGCCTTTAAACTCTGCGCTTGCAGCAGCACTCCCTGCCCTGGGCTCTCAGACCTTCAGCCTTGGACTGAGTCACACCATTGTCTTCCTGGCTCTGAGGCCTTGCGACTTGGGTGCTGAGTCACACGACCAGCATCCCAGAGTCTCCAGCTCTAAGACAGCCTGTCACGGGACTTCTCAACCTCCATCATCACATTTCTCCTACTGCATATCCTCTTTCCATCCATCTAGCTAGCTATCTGTTTGTCTATCATCTATCTATCTATCTGTCTGTCTATCTATCTATCTATCTAATCTATCTGTCATCTATCACCTATCATCTATCTATCTATCACCTGTCTGTCTATCATCTATTTGTCTGTCTGTCTATCTATCTATCTATCTATCTATCTATCAATCACCTGTCTCTCTATATAGCTACCTACCTATCTATCCAGCCTATTGGTTCTGTCTCACTGCGGCATGCTGACTATAGTGATACACCTATTTAGAGTCCCGGCATGATTACGCACTGATGGCTCACAGCCTCGACAATCCCCAATGATGGGAGCAGCCTTAATTTGTGTGCACCATCTTCACAGGGCTACAATCCTGACACTCCTTGGGGTCAAAGGGGTTTAGGGTATTAGTTACTTTATGGGTCTAATGATCTTGGTTGATATGCTGCCAAGATTTGTAACAAGTTTGCCAAATCTCAATCTATTTAAAGATCTGAGAAGGCTGCGCCTGGCTAAGTATCCAGGGAGTCGGTCCACTTGCTTCCCAGGCCTTTCTGTGTTTGTCACACCATCCACTCACTTTCATTATTTCTGTTGGGCCATTCACAGGAGAATTTCAGGCAAACTGGCCGCGGCTTTGGCCTCTTACTGGGATGATTGGCACCATGTGATGTTAACCCTGGAGACCACCACAAGGTCACTCTGTACGGCCCCTTGATTTTGGAGAGGAACTAGCTGAGCCCCAGGCATTGGAAGTGAATTGCTTAGAGTCACATAACAAATTTAAGTTCAGGAAGAGATAACAACACACTTCACCATCAGCACTTGGTAGGACTGCCTCACCCCTGCCATGCGCTCACGGCCCCATCATCTCTACCCAACCTCGATGTCCCCAAATTGTGCTTGCTATTTGGTTGACTGCTTCTTCCTTATTAAACATTCTGCTATTCGTGAATGACTCTGGCCAAATTAATGAGAGCCATACGACCTACTGGCCTTGTAACACCCATTCCTTGTGAATATGACACATGTCGGAACACACTGGCCCAGCCGTCCCCTGGGAGCGGGGGTTCTGGGTGTGTGGGGTCCTACAAGTCATGGATCTCTCACTAAGGATGTAATTTCTGAGTGAATTGGTCTTTCCTTGAAAAAAGAAAGACGGAAACTGTATCCCAGCAAATGCGGGTTTCCCTGAGCAGACAGCGCCACCTGCTGGCTGACTTGGGAAACAGCAGAATCACCATTTTTCTGGACCCGCATCTTCATTCTGCTCAAAGAGCACACGTGTCTATTTGATTCCAGGGCGCTGGATATGTGCGTGGCACATGGAAGCCTTTATTTTACTTTTTGGGTTTTTCATGCTTGTAGTTAAACATCACCGCTTTCTCACTCAGCTGTGACTGTCAAGAGCCTTGCGCCCTGTGGGCTTACTGAGCTCTGGAATAAGGGAGAGAACCTCATGACGCCCATGTCAGCAATAGCTTTGCAGACGCCTTCTCAAAAGCCACAGACCCCAGACATGCTAAGGACAGGCACTGCTCGTTGCTTACAGACTCACTTACTTACCCGAGCGTCCACTTAGGGCCGCAGATGGGAGGATTGACGGGAAGAAAGGCCGGGAAAGGACAAAGGCTGGAAGGTGCATGTCCTCTGCACCTGCAGGCAGCTACTAGGTTCAAACAGTGAAGGGCGTCGGGCCCAGGCAGAGCCCAGAGCCTCTGTGAACCCAGAGCTTTCCTAATAAAGTCTGCTCCCTGGGCAGTGAGAGTTTCTATAGGATGCATGGTGTAGCCTTGGACTCAGGGGTGTGCGTCCTCCCTGTGAACAGATGGGTGAAGCAGAAACACACACAGGAAAGCACAGTCTATGAAGAAAGCTCACCCAGGACACAGCACACGTGGAGATGTCAGCACGTGCAGGGGTTTGGGAGAGGGTCACGGTCTCTTTGCTCATGACTTCCTGCAGCCAAGAATGCAATCTGCAATTAGGGTACCAGACTGGGGGTCGTGGAGGAGCACTATTCCTGGGGTTAGGGGGAGCACTATCCCTGAGGGCAGGGGGACCGTTATCCCTGGGAGTCAAGGGGGAGCACTATTCTTGGGGTTGGGGGCAGCTCTAGCCCTGGGGGAAGTGGGAGCACTCTCCCGGTGGGGCGGGGAGGGAGCCCTTGGCCTGGGGCTGGGAGAGACAGGTGGAGTCTTGGGTTTGGGTGTCAGACCCTGCAGGTTTCCATCCTCTGCCTGTGTTGGTTTCCTGGGGTCGCGTCACGGACTCCCACACACGGGGTGGCTCCACACAGGGAATAGACGCTCTCCCCATGGCGGAGTCCAGCACTCCCGGATGGAGGTGTCTGCAGGGCCATGATCCCCCTGGAGACTCTTCGGGGCCCTTCCTTGTCTCTTTCAGGTTCTGGGGGCTCCAGGCAAACCTGACCGGGGCTGCCCTGATCCAATTCCGCTGCCTCTGCGTCTCCTTTCCCTCTGTCTGTGGAAAACCCCTCAGCCTCCCTTTGGAATGGGCATGGGTTGTGGCACTCAGATACCCCCAGGTGGCCCGGGCAGCTCTCCCACTCTCAAAGCCCTAATCTTTTCCCTCTAAAGATCCTTTTTCCTTCTCCACGTAAGGTCTCATTCACAGGTTCCAGGGACTCAGATATCTTTCAAGCAATCAGTTTTCAGCCTTCCACATCGCCATGAACTTTCTTGAAATAAAACCTCAAATCCTATAATATTTATTGTCAAGAAGAGACACCTCTCAATAACTGTGAAATCCTGTGATCAGCGAAATAAGTATGTCATGTGAGTATGTCGATAAGCATTACACACACAGAAAGAAACAAACACCGCACACACAGCCAAAATCACTCACACCACCCACCACACACACACCACACACACAGCCAAAAATCACTCACACCACCCACCACACACACACCACACACACAGCCAAAAATCACTCACACCACCCACCACACACACACTACACACACAGCCAAAATCACTCACACCACCCACCACACACACACCACACACACAGCCAAAATCACACACCACCCACCACACACACACTACACACACAGCCAAAATCACTCACACCACCCACCACACACACACCACACACACCTTCCCCACAGCCAGCCAAAAATCACTCACACCTCCTACCACACACACACCACACAGATACAACACAAACCACACCTGCACACAGAGATGTCACACCACCACTCCTGTTTAGGAGCATGGAAGGGCTTTTTTTCACCCTATCAGCGAAGGGGAATCAACCCGTAAGAACTCTACTGGCCGGGTGCGGTGGCTCACGCCTGTAATCCCAGCACTTTGGGAGGCCGAGACAGGCGGATCACGAGGTCAGGAGATCGAGACCATCCTGGCTAACATGGTGAAACCCCGTCTCTACTAAAAATACAAAAATTAGCCGGGCGTGGTGGCGGCGCCTGTAGTTCCAGCTACTCGGGAGGCTGAGCCAGGAGAATGTCGTGAACCCGGGGGGCGGAGCTTGCAGTGAGCCGAGATGGCGCCGCTCACTCCAGCCTGGGCGGCAGGGTGAGACTCTGTCTCAAAAAAAAAAAAAAAAGAAAAAAAAGAACTCTACCAAGAAAAAATGACACTTCATTGGTCAGTGACAGACTATTTAAGGATAAGTATTTTTAGTCAGTGTTTAACTTATGTACATAAAAACTCAATGAAATCATAAGACAGCATTAAATAGCTTGTTTAAAATAAACCGAGGGAACTCGCCTCTTGGGAATCTTTAAAGTACAGAATGAAACAGTAGTCAGAGCCTGACTCTTTGCTTTACCACTAAAAAAAATGTAATGCACTTTTCATGACTCTGCCATTCTTGCAGGCAATTTCATATGCATTTTCTGACTCCCCCATCGGGGTTCAAAATGCAATACCCCAAATGCAACACCTTGGAGAATGGCCTGCTTTGAGCTGAGGGAGACCCGGAAGTCCACAGAAGCGAGAAGTCCTCTCCGGCCTTCACCCTCCTTCTCCCCACAAAAGGCATAATGGAAACTAGGGCTCTTCTCCCTGAAAGCAAAAGCCATAAAACTGGGAGGGTAGCTCTCTGCCTCCCTGCTTCTCCCAGGAAAGGCCTCGAGTGTCCGTGTCCTGCCCAGCACCCAGGGGACGATCCCAGCACAGACCCAAGAAGGATTCTGCCAAGGGGCCTGGCCGGGCTCCCGGCTCACCAGCTCCAGGGCATGCCTTTCTGTCCACTCTCAGAACTCCCTGGCTCCTGCTTCCTTCCTCAGGCTTAGCAGAAGAATTCCATTTCCCGGGGCCTTGGGTCCTCATGTGTGGTAGAAGGCCTTGGCTAAACACGCGTGCCATGCCCTCCTCTTGTCGGTGTGACTTTGGGTGCAGGAGTGTCCACCACGAGCCTTGCAACAGGTGAGGAGAAGGAAACCGTCTCCGGGATGGACTGGCCCCACATCCCTGCCTCCTCCCCTCACCCACCCTTGGTCTCTACAGGAGCGAGTTTCATCCCAGGCTGGGCCCAGTCCCCAGGACCAGCACCTGTCCGCGGAGGACCTCTAGTCCTCAGTCCTGGTAAGTAATTGGATCCCGGAGCAGCTGGAGCCTGGCAGCTCTTTCCCTAGAGCAATGATCCATACTTAACAGGTGCTCCAGGGAGAGCATAAAAATGGCCATCCCAAAGAGAAAAGCAGACAGGCCAAGCTTTGATGGGCAAGATCTGATCTGACCTGGGGTGGTAAGGAAAAAAAACTGTACTTGTAAATTAGGTTTTTTCCAAACCTTCAGTATTAGCGAAGACTTATTAGCTAAGATGGACTTCGTCTCTGAACGACCTTAGTGTTGTCATGGGATAAATAGGTCTTCCATCTTATTATTCAAGAAAACACTTTCCAGGCGAAGGTTCTTCACCTTAATCTAGTCAATGCATTTCTTCCCTTTTTCTTAAATCTTCCTGCCTCCCCCATCCATCCTTCCCTCCCTTCCTCTCTCCTTCCATTCCTTCCTTCCTTTTCTTCTTTCTTCCTCCCCTCCTCCATGTTTTCCTCCTTTCCTCTTTTCCTCTTAAAATTCAAGATGGCAGCTGCAAATCAAGCTCTCACATGGCTCCCATTGAGAAGTTTCATGAGATAATCCAAGCAGAGAGATGACTACAGTGCCCGCCCATAGTAGTTACTCAGTGGCTTCTAGGTCCTTCTCACGGAAACCGGACTGACACTCCTGAGGCTGCAGGGCAGGTAAGCCTTGGCCCAGAGGGAGGCAGAGAGCAGACATATGGTGCAGAACAGGCATGGTGCAGAGGTGGACGCACATTTTCCAGATTGGTTCGAATTTTTCAGGGCATCCATTTTGTGCTGTGGCCCCACCCCAGCCAGGCAAATAGAAACAAGTTCCACCTGCCATAGGATCCCCTGCCCCCTCTCCAGACACCTGACACCTGCTGCTTCTCTTCTGCAGCTGACAGCAGGGCTTCTCCTGGTGGGTCCCCAGCCCTCCATCAGCCCCTGGCTTCAGGCACTCACCCCAGCCCATCTCATGTGGCACTGTTGGCGCAAAGATGTCCCTGCTCCAGGGCTGGGCTCCTGTAGACCAGCAGAGCCTGACTGAGCTGGACCTGTTGGGCTGGAGGACTTTGCCCCGGTTCTGTTGAGTCAACTGACCTGCCTGACGATACTGCTACTGCTGTCACCCAGTGTGCAACCACAGGCCCTGTGCCCGCGTTTCACAGCTAAGGAATAGCAGATCCTGTGCGGGGAGGGGAGGAAGGAAGGAAGGAAGGAAGGGAGAAATGGAGGGAGGCAGGGAGGGAGGAAAGGGGAAAGGGAGAGACAGAGCGCAGGGCTGCTGGGCGGAGAGACCTGGGCCAGGCCAGGCTTGGCCGTGTGAGGAGCACCTGTCCTTCAGGAAGGGACCTTGGAGATCAGGCTGCTGACAAACGACTTATTTCTCCTCCCTCTGAACTCCCAGATTCCCAGAAATCTGCCTCGGAAGTGGGGAGAGCGGAGAGGCTGTGAGGTTGGACCGAGGGGGGCCACGGTCTCACCATCCATCCCACGTGGGCCACCCCTGGACGCTTCGTTCGCAAGCCTGGTACTGTCCTAAGATGTGGTTTGATTTTCAAGGGCGGAGAGACGGGCTCAGCCGCTGGAATGACGCTTTCCGCTGCTGCTGGAATCCAGCCCCTCCGTCTTTGGGGGATGTGGGGTCTCTGCCTCCTGCAGTGACAGCGCGAGGATGACCCGGCCTGGCCTCCCGCTCCCCAGCGCGGGCACCTGCCGGAGACGCGGCTCTGCAGCGCCACCTAGCGGCCGCCCTGCGTCTTCCCAAAGCGGAGCCTTCGGACAAAGCTTCCTTTCCACGAGGTCCCCGCAGATTTCTGCGGAGCCGGAGTCTGAATCACTGTCTCCCGGGTGACTCCTAACCCTGGAAACTCGCTGCCGCTCCTTGGGGCTGGTGGTCGTGCCAGTTGCTGCGTCAGAGCAGTTGGGTGCCCACAGGCTGAGGATGCTGGGGCCGGGGTGAGGGTGAGGCTCCACCCCAGGGCTCCAGAGACCCTGAATTTTGCACTTGACTCTCCTTAATCTCTCCCAGAGCCTGATCCTTCTCATCCCCCTGAGGGCCTGAGGTCCCCTATCTGCATGATGGAGGGGTGGGGTGCCACGATCTTAAAGACCTTCCAGTTCCCAGGGTGACAAGATTCTAACCACGTTGCACATGGAACACTTTTCGGTGCAATGACCCCAAACAACATCCCGGCCTGTGCAGTTCCCACTCGCAGAGATCCAAAGTCGGTGGGTGACGACCCACGTGTGAAAAGGGCGCTAGAGAGCTGCCTGCAGTCTCATGTCCCCCCACCCCCCGCCTTCCGCGTGCTCAGCACCTGAACGTCTTCACAGAGACAGCGCAGAGTCTGTTTAAAAGGAAGCTCCGACAGTCTCCCTAAGAAGAGAAGGCAGCCACCTCAGGCACGTGGACGATTTCTGGGGATGGAATTGTCGCAATAACGAGGAAATCCCCTGTGGTTTAATGGGCAGAGTCCCAAGGTGCTTGACATCCTGACCAGCACAGGGCAGCCACCTCCTGCAGAAGCTGAAAAAACGGCAAGAAAAATAGACCCATAACTAGTTTGAGTAGTTGTAATGTGCACTGAGACAAAAAGTCTTTACACTTTTTTTTTTTTTCTTTTTGAGATGGAGTCTCACTCTGTCGCCCAGACTGGAGTGCAGTGGCGCGATCTCGGCTCACTGCAACCTCTACCTCCCAGGTTCAAGCAATTCTCCTGCCTCAGCCTCCCTAGTAGCTGGGATTACAGGTGTGTGCCACCACGCCAGCTAATTTTTGTATTTTTAGTAAGATGGGGTTTCACCATGTTGGCCAAGCTGGTGTCTATCTCCTGGCCTCAGATGATCTGCCCACCTCGGCCTCCCAATGTGCTGGGATTACAGGCATGAGCCACTGCACCTGGCCCTTTTCACAATTTTAATTGCACTAAACTTCCATAGAATGCTGACAGCACATAAACACGATTATGTGTCTTTGCAGTGCTCAAGCTTCAATCCTGAGAATCCAAAAATATGATGAAGTGTAGAGTTTATTTGAACACAGTTTGAGGATAGCCACATAGGAAACACAGACTCCCAAACTGGAAAGTTAAAGTCTCATTCACATAGTCAGAGGCAGAGGTTTGACAGGTTGCAGCCTTTTCCAACAAGATCAGAACATAGGTTATAGCGATTGGACTTGATTGGTCATAGCTCGCTATACTTTAAGGAAGATTGTTTTAACATTCCATAAAGAAGGTTAATGGTCTTGAAGGGGGTCTCACTTCTGGTGCTATTCAGTCTTTCCTAATCATTACAGGACAAGAATGAGGGAGAGATTTGACCCAGAATAAAGAAGCAGAAGGTGCAGCTCCACGCCATGCGACACAGGCCCCACAGCCACATTCCTCTCAAGGCTCAAAATCAGGTACAGTTCTGACAGCTTTCAATTTGGATTATTTAATTTCACATCTCCCCCTTTTCAACATGATCTTTTGAAGAAGGCTTAGTAGCTGAACGCAGATGGTTTGGGATCTCTGTATGTGTAGGGGCTTAGTCCCACATACCTAGGAATGTTCATTCCTAGGATGTTGTCGCCCATGGCTAGGGCCATGTGCCAAGCTATGCAGAACTGACGGGGTATAGGCCGAACCTGGAGCCACATGAGGGAAGTGACGTGGTGACCTGGGTCAGGCTGCACAGCTGCATCCTCCGTTAATGGGATTCTGTGAGTGACAATTATTTTAGTATCTTCAGTTGTGGATTGACTCCATTGCACACCACACAGTGAAGACAAAACAGGCTAGAACCCAGCCAACGACTGATTAACAGCTTCTTCCGCCAAGTTCCCCAAGACCCACACCAGTTGCTTAACCAACTGTGTGGAGAGGGTGTTGGATCTGAAAGTTTGGTTATTGGGTTTTCATATCAGTATTTAATTTAAGGTCATTATCTGATTCATCTGGATTCGGGACATGACGTTCAGTCTTTGTGATGGTTCCCTCTGCAGCTGCAGCGAGTCTGTCTGAGGCCATAGGAGCCTGTAATGCAGCCTTTCTCATAAAAGCATCTTCATTGTTTATTAACGCGGCACATGTGACTATCATTCGGGGCCTTCTTCAGTTCAGAGGGACACTGTCCTTCCCTTCTGGGACTTACCTCGTCCTCCTAGAGGACCTTTTATAATTCTGGTCACTCAAGAAGAGAGTTTAGATTTGTTTATTGAATCGGCCTTCAGAATCTGGCCAGTTTTGAACATTATACATTTTGCTCAATCCACAAAGCTTCAATTTCTCTTTTCAAAGAGAAACTGTTTTCTCCCTGACCAAAATTTCAAATGGGAGAAAAAGTTCTAGAAACTCTAATGAGTAATTCAAAACAGAACCTTAACCTCTGAAAAAAAAAATCAAAGTCTTGAATCTGGGGTCAGCAGAATCCCTGAAGAATAACAAACAAAACCCCAAACTTGCAGTAGGTCTTCCAACCCTATTGAGTTGGCAATTTGTGTGGCTCAAATAAAAGTCAGAACTTCAACAAGCTGGGAGGTTCGGACCCGAGAAGGTCCTTCCCAGAGGTCCCTGTCGACTCCAGCGAGGCCAGGTGAACCCACACCGTGTGTGCTGACAGCATGGCCCTGGCTGTTGGTGATGTAACAGGGATCACTGGAGGCCCACTTCACATCCCTTTGTGGTTAGCAAAATGTCAATCTTTAATTACGAAATTTGGAAAAGGTGATTCAGTATAGAGTTTGAGTGCAAAGCTTGAGGGTCGTCACCTGGGAAACAGACTCTAGACGAATGGGCTCTGCTTTTAAAGTGAGAAGTTAAAGTTTCATGTTATAAGTAGAGACAGAAGTATAACAGGGCTGCGGCCTTTTCCAAGGAGGTCACAAGTTAAATCTATTTCACTTGATTGCTCACAGCTTGCTACATTCCAAGGAAACTCGCTTTAACTTTCCACAAGGAGGGGTCATCCTCTCGAGGGGGTCTCACCTCTGGTGCCATTCAGTCCTTCCTAATCATTTACAGGACAAGAATGAGGAAGAGATTTGACCTAGAATCAAAGAAGTTGCAGCTTCACACCATGTGACTCAGGCCACACAGCCACGTTCCTCTCAAGGTGCAAAATGATCTTTCAACAGCTTTAGGTCTGAATTATTTAATTTCACAGGGACTTTATACCAAGGTTTTCCACATCGCACAAAGATCACTACACCTTCCAAAACCCTGCTCAGGATGTCTTAGTCACTCCTTCAAAATAGGAACTGGAAATAAAAAGCACTGAGACTGTTTTGTTGACAATTGCTTTACTTCGTTTTTATCTTCATTAGCAGGCATTAGGCAACCGTAACCAACCTTCTAGGCAGTTGTCAATGATCACTGTCATATTAAAGTGCATGTTATATATTATAAATTTCCTTTACTTTATTTCTCCTTTATCTTACAGCATTATGTTGATTTTTTAAACTATATGGAAAGTGAAGTTACATGAGCTATAAATTCCCCATTACATGATGAAGCCACATTACAAAAGACTCGCTGTATTAGAAGAGGGCAGTGGAAAGTCTTGTTTAAAATCTTAGTGCTAAAATTCTCACTAAAATGTAAGTCACTGATAGTATCCCTTTGCCTCAGAATAAGCTGTGTTGGGAGACATAGAAATAAGAGGGGTAAGTTTGGGGGTTGCATAGACAATGCTTGCTGAAGTTTTCCATCCTTCCCTGAGCCTCGGGGATGGAGTTGGGGTCATGCCGGGTGACTTTCTGGATATCATCACTTTTTCCTCCCAGAAGTCGCATTGGATGTGTGTGCACATACATATGTATGTGTGATGCATGTGTGTGGAGAATGTGTGTGCATGTATGATGTGTATGTGGTGTGCAGAGTATCTGTGTATGCATGTGTGTGTGCATGTCTGTGGTGTGTGGGTTTATGCATGTGTGATGCATGTGTATGATGTGTGGTGTGAAGTGTGTTGCTTGTGTGTATGCATGTGTGTCTGGTGTGGAGTGTGTACATGTATGTATGTGTGATGCATATGTGTGGTGTGTGGAGAATGTGCATGTGTGATGCATTGTGTGTGGAGAATGTATGTGTGTACATGTATGTGTGATGCACTGTGTGGAGAATGTGTTGTATGGGTGTGTGTAGAGTGTGTGTATGCATGTGTTGTGTGATGCATGTCTGGTGTGTGCTGTGTCTATGGGGTGATGCATGTGTATGATGTGTGGTGTATGTGAAGTATGTTACATGTGTGATGTGTCTGGTGTGTGGAGTATGTGTGCATGCATGTGTTGTATGTGTGTACATGCATTGTGTGTGGAGAATGTGTTGTATGGGTGTGCATGTATGGTGTGTAGAGTGTATGCACGTGTTTGTGTGCATATATGTGTGTGATGCATCTCTGTAGTGCTGTATGTGTGTGTATGGGTTTATGCATGTGTGTGGTGTGTGGAGTATGTGTGCATGTGTGCTGTGTGTGCATATAAGCTTGTATGATGAGTGTATGCATGTGTTGTGTGCATATATGTGACGCATGTGTTGTGTGCATATGTGACGCATGTCTGTGGTGTATGCTGTGTATGGGGTGATGCATGTGTGTATACATGTGTGATGTGTGTGGAGTGTGTGCATGGATGTGTGTGGTGTGTATGCACGTGTTGTGTGTGTGCATATATGTGATGCATGTCTAGTGTGTGCTGTGTATGGGATTATGCATGTGTAACACATGTATGTGATGTGTGTGTGCTTTCTGGTTCCCGATGGCAGACGTCTCTGACACTGCACCCTCCCTTCTGTGATGTGCTTTACAGACCCTGCACCTCCTCCTGCTCAGAGCTGCCCGTGGTCCCATCCAGGGAAAGCCTGAATATTCCTCTTCAGTATCCATGGAGGGTTCATGTATGAAGCCTCTGGCTTCTGGGTCCTTATCTTCAGTGTCCTCCACAACTGGTTTCTGTGTCCTCAAGGTCACACCCGAGATTGCATTTGTGCTCTGAATGTCTCTCCCTGGCCCAGGGCGCCCCTCACCCTCAGCCCCTGGCTCCGGGAGCCACCTGGGTCTACAGAGCCACATGCCCTTGCTTCTCTCAGGGGCACGATGTATCCTGGGGCCTGTGCTGGTCCCTCCTGCCCCTGCAGGCTGGGTAGGGCTTCCATCTGCTCCTGCCTTTGGGCTGTGGAAGAATCAAAAAGGAGACACATGGGAAAGTGTGGCCACTCCGGGGTGGACATCCCACTCCCAGGCAGTGTCCAGCCCCTGCAGACACCTTAGCTTCATGGAGAGCCAGGAGGTCCCATGGGCTTTGCTGGGTTGAGTACGGGTTTCCATGGCTTTCAGAGGTTCCATGGAAGCATTGAGAAGGTTTAGAAAAGGAGGAGGTCGTGTTGGATTGGGGTCCAGGGACTTGAGTGTGGGGAGCCCACAAGGGTAGGCTCCTGGTGGGCTCAGGTCCCCGGGTGACATTGTCCTGGCACTCTCTTAGGGTTACAGCCAGTACCCTGTAGGACACCTCCTCACTGGGACTGGATTTTAGGCCACTGTGGTGAGGCAGGGGGTGTTTGGGGGCAGAGAAGAGCACAGGACTCATGGGTGCACAGGGGCTCGGAGGGCTTCCGTCAAGCTGCTGTGGGCAGTGCGCGGCGGGGAGGAAGGCTACTGGCCAGGGCAACCCACCGGGTGCAGGTTCCTCCCTGGGGCCTCCCTCTAATGTGTCACTCCACAGGGGGACCAGGCCCTTTGGAGGATGAGGAGAAGGGGCCACCCTTTCTGCAAAACCCAGCTTACCTTTCTTCCCCAGGCTGCACTGAATTCTGGTGGATGTTTGAGTCATTTGTTCATAATAGGAATCTCTTAAACGTCCACAGCAGGACCAGGTCAATCCTGGCCGTAGACAATCAGCTTCACCATCTGCATCTAGCAGATGCAGGAAGAGGCACCGTCATAAGTTTCAGAAGCCATGTTTCTTCAAGGTCTGAAGAGAAAATGTGTGACTGAAATGTGCTGAGTGTCACTTTCCTTTCTGGCCTCTCCCTTGCCCCTCCCTCTCCCCGACCACATCTGCCCCAGGAGCCCCTACCCTGAGGGGATGGAGGTCGAGATGTCCGGGAGCCACTGAGGAACCTGAGGCAGGTGTCCAGTGCCTCTGCCTCCGGACAGGACTTCACAGAGGCCACTGGTGGCCATGGCACAGGGGCGACTCAGCCACTCCAGGCCAGGCCAATGGCAAATGGGTCCCCAAGCGCCCTGGGAGCCCGCAAAGGACCTCAGTCTCCATCTGGTGGGTGAAACGAGGCCACTGCAGATTGTGAGCAGAGCTGACATCCACAGGTGGGCCCAGGACACAACCCAGGGCCAGGAAGTGATGGAAGTGGCCACCACACACCAAGCAATTAATCCACCAACATTTGCCCAACATTTGCAGAGAACCGTCTATGTTACAGGCCCTGCAAAAGACACAGGAAGTTACACTCCACTGCAAAGACACGCGTACGCATGAGGCACGTGTAAGGTCATGCACCGCGACCTCTGCAACAGATGGACAGAGTTGTTCTGTGCAAGCCCCTACAGTGAGCTGAGCCCAGAGCCTCGGACAAGGCCCAGTGCCAGCTGTGTGCATGTGGTCAGTACAGAAACCAACGTCAGCTGGGGAGACCAAGGCCAGTCCAAGTAGCAGGTGATATTTGACCTGAGCCTTTAAAAATGAGTAAGTAATGTAAATGACAAGTTAACAGGTGCAGCACACCAACATGGCACACGTAAACATATGTAACAAACCTTCACGTTGTGCACATGTACCCTAGAACTTAAAGTATAATTTAAAAAAATAATTTTAAAAAATGAGTAAGTGTCGATAGTGAAGACTCGGGTCACTGACTCAGAAGTCGCTCCAGGCAGAAGCAGGATGTGGGAACAATAGCCACATTTTGCAGAGATTTCACAGGAAGGTTTCAAACCCAGAGGGATTTCTCCTCAGCCCTGAGAGCATGAAATTAAACTGAACATTGCAGCTGAGACGAGGGGGCTCGTTTCTCTTTGCAGTGAGGGAAGGGACCAGCACTCCGGGAAAGAGCTGCCCATGGACAACGGCACCCAACAGTCTCCCGTTCTGTACACAAGAGCACATCACATCATCTTACACCAAGGACTGTCTATTAATTCCCTATTTCTCAGCCTCTGCTGGTGAAGTTTCTGCCTCTTACTTCTGAAGTCCAAGCGGTGAAGGGCCCTTGGCCCAGTCTCAGGGTGGCAGGAACAAAAAGGCAGAATGGAGTCTGCGAACAGAACATCTGGCAGCCGTCAGGTGCCACCGGCACAGGAATCTCTATTACGTGAGACACGGAGGGGAGGCTCCCTCTAACTTCCAACAGGAATGCGAAATGTGCCAGGCCGGGCGCGGTGGCACACGCCTGTGGTCCCAGCTACTTGGGAATCTGAGGCGGGGGGATCTCCTGCACCCAGGAGCTGCAGTGATCCGTGACTGCACCACCACACTCCAGCGTGGACAACAGAGTGAGACCTTGTGTCTTAAAAAAAAAATATTAAACTAAATTTATAAATTACCAGGTTTGTCTAATTTCTAAGTATGAAAAGCAAAACAAAAGGAAATTTTGCAGCTTGTTTCATGACTTGTTGCCTCCTTTCCTTCTAACGTGAGTGTGTCATCCGAGAGAGGGCAAGGTGGGGGAGTTCTTGCCCCGGGAACATGTCATCAAGCTCTCGGCTGGCGCAGGCGGCCCAGGACATTGTGTTCCCAAGTCCTCCCTGCTCGGAGCATGACCTTGGCTGGTCCCCGTGGCTCACATGCAGCTGGCTTCCATGGCAGCCGGACCCATCACTCAGAGTGATGCAGGTTGACTCAGCCCTGGTCTGTCCAAGTCTAAATTTCCTCTTCTGTAAAATGGGAATAACCTGCCTCCAATGGTGAGAACGAGGTGGGGTCGGCCAGGCAGGCAGGGAGCAAAGGGAACACTGCCTGCGTTTATGTAACTGGGGTAACTGGGAGGCCATCCCCAGTGGGGCCTGAGGCATCACAAAGGCTCCTGCTTGCAAGACGCCTCGAGTTCTCTGCTGTCTCCACAGCTGGCATCCGGCCTCACAGACACCCTCGACCCAGGTGAGGTCCCCACTGTCCCCATGTTGAGTGTCACAGGGAGACGCCAGCAGGACCCGGCCTGCCTCTTTCTCAGGGGAGGCCTGGACGAGGCTTCTGGGCCAGGACGTGACCCTGGATGGGGCACAAGGCAGCCGCAGTGAGCAGCCAGGACTCAGGCTGTGGGGGCCTCCCTGACCCTGCCTGGGGGTGGGGTGGGGCCAAGGAAGCCCCAGGCCTTCAATTTAGGATTTGCTTCATCAAACGGATCAATTCAGGCTCAAGATAAGCAACCTCGAAACTGTCTCCCTGGAGAGCCAGGGGGGCTTCCTGTTGGAACTCAGTCCCGTGGGACCCTTCCAGGCAGAGGGTGTGGGAGGCTGCGCCCATCCCTGCCACGCCTGGTCCCCACCGTGTCCCTCCGTGCGTCGCAGACATGTTCTCCTGCTGACCTCCACCCTGCAGACGCGCCTGGGTCTCCCCCTTACTGTGTGGGACACACAGGGGCCCTGCAGACCCGGGGGAAGGAAAGAGCGGGAGGAATGGGAGGACTCAGCACAGCCGCCTGGGCCCAGCCTCTCCTCACGCAGACCAGGACCCCTGAGTGAGATCCCCCAAGGTCCCTTCCTGTCTCAAATTTCTTCAATTTTTACAATTAAAGGAAGAGAAGAAGGAGGACGTGCTCTCCTCTCTCATGCCCATTTTCTTCTATACCCTGAAGATCCTCAGGTAGCTGGGATTCTCTGGCTGCTCTGAAACTCCAGCCACGTGTCCATTTCCAGGCGAGTGAGTCCTGGCTCCCCACTCCGGCCTCCTCCTGATCTTTTTTTTTTTTTTTTTTTTTGAGACGGAGTCTCGCTCTGTCGCCCAGGCTGGAGTGCCGTGGCCGGATCTCAGCTCACTGCAAGCTCCGCCTCCTGGGTTCACGCCATTCTCCGGCCTCAGCCTCCCGAGTAGCTGGGACTACAGGCGCCCGCCACCTCGCCCGGCTAGTTTTTTGTATTTCTTAATAGAGACGGGGTTTCACCGTGTTAGCCAGGATGGTCTCGATCTCCTGACCTCGTGATCCGCCCGTCTCGGCCTCCCAAAGTGCTGGGATTACAGGCTTGTCCTCCTGATCTTAAACAAGTTTGAGGCTCCAGGTAAAGATCATGGAGGCCTCACCCTGCTTGCTCAACTCAGCAACTCAGCGGTTTCCCCCACTGCGGGTGGAGAGCTGGACCCTATCCCTCCACAAGCTGCATCTGCCCTGCCTTCTCAAAGGCAGCAATTCTGGGAGCCTGATGGCTTCATCCGGAAAATAAAAAGGAAAGGCCACGCGGAGGGGTTTTGTGCAGGGAGCCACTGGCCCAGCTACCGGCCAACCCGGGAAGAGCTAGCTGGGTGACGAGGGGACGGAAAGGGCATGATGAGTGGGTTTTGCCAATGCTTGTAGCCAGAGACCATGCACGGGGCTTGAAAATCCTCTCTTTAGCTCGAAAAAGCCTGAACTTTGTCCCTAAATAAGAGAGTATTTTGTGGTTCATCATCCATAGAAGGAGAACGCAAAAGAAAGGGCGTGATCACAGCAGTGAGGCACTGACTGGGGTCCTTCCTGCGCAGTAAGCGACCACTGACGGGGGTCCTTCCTGCGCTATGAGCCACCAGGCAGTGGGGCTGTCCTGCCGAACCCCATGCAGGGCCCCTCACCAGCAGGTCCTCTGAGCCCACCCTGGCACACAGTGGGCTCCTTTGGGAATGGACCCGGGAAAGCCGAGCTGCCCCAGCCTGCAGGATTGTCAGGGCAGGGGCAGCCCCTTATCCTGGCCTCCCGTGGGCCAAGTTCCACCTCTCCCTCCTTCCTCATCTCCTGAACCCCCTCCTCCTCAGCCACAGAGAGCGCTCCCACCACCCTGGGGAGTGAGGTGGTGACGGTGACAGCTGTGGCCATGAATGTGGCTGGGGAGCTTTGTACCCAGGTGCTGCCCTGGTGCCTCACACCTGCTAAGTCATGTCATTCTCAGGACAACAAATAAGCAGAGAAACAGGCAGGAGCTGGTATTACCCCATTATACAGATGAGGAAACTGAGGCACAGGGTGATTAGTGCTCGTCCCCAAATCACAGAGCTGCAGAGTGGTGAAGACAGAACAAAACCCCAGCCAGCCAGAGGCCCTGCTTCCCACACTGCCCTCATTCTAGAAGGTTCTGCCGTAAAACCAGTCCCGCCCATTGTGGATGAGCCCAACAGAGATTCAACGAGACAGGAGAGAGGGATGGAAGATAACCCGGGGCCCAGCACACAGGGACGGCTCTGACAGATCCTGTGCAGTCAGGCTAGTTGAATACACAAGCAAGCGACCGTGCCCGGGCTGTCTGGACTCCGTGTCCATGGCCTGGGTCACCCTTGGCCAAGTGTGGAAACATGCAGCTGGGGGCTTCCTCTGGCCGAGCATGGCAGCTTTAAGCACCACGGCCAGGCAGATTTTCTTCTGCACCACGGTGTCCTCATCCCAGGCTAGTCTCTGCTGAGGAGCTCCCTTTCCTGCTCTGGGCAGTGCCCCCACCTTGGCAACGGAAAAAATTCTACCCTGCAGAGAGTAAAATTGCTGGTGCTCGACGGGGACACGTGCGTGGCAGTCCCTTCCTTGCAAAGCTACTGAAAATCCACTGGGGCTGGAACAGGGCCTGGCCTCTGGCTCTGGGGCCCAGCAGGCTGTGGGGAGTCACTGGAGGAGAGGAACTGGACTGTGCCCCCTTCAGAATCCCCCTTTAAAGTGGAGAGTTGGGGACTGACGGCGTGCCTACAATACGGTATGCATGTGGTCAGTAAAGAGACCCCACTGTCAGTCCACCCTCCCACAGCGCTGGCCCCGACACGTGGGGACTGCAGAGTGGGTTTGC